CCCCCCCCCCGGAGGAGACAGGTCCCTTCTGTCTAGGATGCGAACAGTGATTCTGTGGGGCACTGAGACGGTGGCTTCCTCGTTTCTCTTGCAGTGGCACCACAAAGTGGCAATAACAGATTTCTCGTGAAATAGCACAAGAAATAAGGGTTGTAAAATAAGCCATAGTTTCGTTCCTTCCCCTAGTTACAGTTTAATTACTACAAGACTAGAAGCACCTAGGATTTGCCGCAGCAAGTTCTTTTGCAAATGTTTAGCAGATCTGCCTGTTTCACGTTGAGGGACTTGTGGCCCGGGCAGGTGACTTAGACCTTGCCTGCCGCGCAAAGTCCAAAGCCCCCGGCAGCAAGGGCAGGCACCCTAGGAATGTGCTGGGTAAATTTCCAGGCTGCTGAATTCTTGAGTAAAGCTTCCAATTTCAGCTTATAAAATTTAATTCATTGTAAAATGAGACATTTACTTGTTTATGCTGTGATTTGTGTTGCATAAAGTTTCATGGCGAATGCAAATGAGGATGTTCATTTCAATGTAGGTTTATATTTATGTGACTTACACTACTTGACCTAGTCATGTAGTCTGTTTTTATCTATCAAATGTGTCAGTATTTATTAGATTTAAAATGGAGTCTAATGCTGGGTATAGACTCAGTTTGTCTTACGCTCTAGAACTTTGGAGTAATGAAGACTCCTATGGAAATAAATGTTCCAGATAGGTGCTCTGAATCTTTTCATTTTTGTTTAAAAATTCCTGGTGAAAATGTATTGAATCTCTGTTTTGTTAAATGGAATATAATAAACATAATACAACATTTCTTTACTGACAGTATCGTGAAAGTGACTTATATCTAATCATATGGCCCAATACCTTCCACCCCAGCTCCCTGCCTCTCCCACCTAAGATAACCTTCCCACTGAATTGGTGCATGTGATTTCTTTACTTTTCATATAGTTTTATTGCAATTATATGTCTTCCTAAAACTTGGATCTAGGTGTTTGATTTTCTAATGACATTGTGTCGGATGTACTCTTTTTGGACTTTTCATACTACTTCTTAATACTACGTTGCTTATATTCATGCATGTTGTTGACTGTCACCGGGGTTCACGGGTTTTACTCTGCACTTTCTACCAGTCAGGTAAAGTGTGAGGAAGTGTCCGCATTCCTGGGACTGATGCAGGTTGAGCCCAGATTATCCCACTTTTCCCCAGGATAAGCCTACTCACCACTGGCTTAATCTGTTTAATTTTATTGCTAATAAATGATCATCCTGAATGAATCCTCTGATCCCTGTGCCTTTAGGGCTCTGACCGTGTGTATTATACACTCCTAGAGGAGTTACAGTGGGAAATCAAATGAATCCTGAGTGAAGGGCTTGTCTCATGGCTTTGCGAAATACCTTCATTTACCCTGTTCTATCCTTTCTAAGGTTCTGAGTATGGAGGGCAATGTCTCCTATTTCTGTAAGTGTTCCAGTATGATATCAAAAGGCTCCATTTAATTGTCACTTGTCAAGATGGTCTTCCTGTGGTCCTAATGTGGACTTAATGTCTGGGATCTTGGGAAGTGTAGATAAGTCTTTCACACAACTGGAAATAGCCTAGTTGACTGTGGATGAACCCATTGGTTCCGGTGCTTGGCATGTCGTTTTAGTACTTGCATTATTAATTGAGTATATACCAGAAGCCATACCTTTTATTTTATTTTTTAAAATCACCATGAAATGGAATCTTCTGGACATCAAGAGACAGAGATTGACTGAAAGCTGAAATTACCCCAGCGAAAGGTAATGCCAGGTACAGGAGTCACCAAACATGTACTACCCGCTCCTTCCTGAAGGTGGCAGCCTTGGGTTACACAGTGATCCAGGGCGGAGACTGGAGGAGAGGGCCATGGAGTCACAAGCTCCTGCCTTTTGTGAGCCAGGTGCAAGCAGGATGTTCATTAATTCACTCATTTATTTATTTGTGTAATATTTACTGAGTACATATTATGTTCCAGATTCTGTTCTAGGCACTGGGGGAACAGAAGTGAACAAAACATATTAAATGTCTGTCTTCAGGGCAAGACAGATAATAAAACTAAGACATTCAGTATGTTTAAAGAACATGTGCTATGGAGAAAATTAAAGGGGATGCAGGAAGGTGGAGGGAAGGCTCCATGCAGGTGGCATTCAGATAAAAACCTGAACTAAGGCAGCCAGACGTGCAGACGTGGGAGGAAAGAGCACAGGGACATTGTGAGTAGGGGCCAGGATCCTGAGGCTGGAGGAGAAGGGGAAAGAAGAGGCCCAGTGGAGTGGCTAAGAGAGAGAGTAGCCAGAGGAGGCAAGAAGGTAGCAGGTACCAACTTATGTGACACTGTGAGGATTTTCCTTGTCTCAGAGTTAGGTGGGAAACTGTGGGAGGGTGTTGGGCAGAGGACTGACACGAGCCGGCTCCCATTGAACAGAATTACTTTCGCAGCTGTTCTGCGAATGGACTGAAAGGAGGCAGGGGCCTTCTTATGTGATATGAGTCAGTCAGGGGTGGTCCTCTCTCTTCTAATAAAGCATCAAAAACCAAGCAAGAGCCCTGGCTGGTTTTGCTCAGTGGTTAGAGCATCAGCTCACAGACTGAAGGGCCCCAGGTTCAATTCTGGCCAAGGGCATGTACCTGGGTTGCAGGCTCGATCCCCAGCCCTGGTCAGCACTCAAGGCAGCTAATCTGTGTGTGTGTCTCACATCCATTCACATCAGTGTTTCTGTCTCTCCCACTCTTTGAAAAGCAATGGGAAAAATACCCTGCAGTGAGGATTAAAAACAAACAAAAACCCCAAGCAAGTAAGACTTAGCTACGAAGAGACTTTTCATGGGGAATACTAAATAAAGTTCTCTTTCCTTGGTGGAGATACAGTTCATCCCCTGGGAGGGGACACTCACATCCTGGGTGCACTTTGTTTAAGAACCACAGGAATATTAAAAAATATTGAAAACATCACTAATAACCAGGAAAATGCAAATCAAAACCACAATGAAATCTCTCCTCACAGCTGTTAGAATGGCTGTTATCAAAAGATGGAAAAGATCCGTGTTGGCGAGGCTGTGGAGCAGTGGAACCCGTGTGCATGCTAGGTGGGAATGTAAGTCAGCACAGCCACTGCAGGAGACGGCATGGGGGGACCTCAAAAACTTGAAAGTACAACTACCATATAACCCAGCTGTCCGCTTCTGGGTATAGATCCAGAGGAAATGAAAACAGTGCCTCCTTGGGGTGCCTGAGCCCCAAGTTCGCTGCAGCAGTAACCCCAGGAGCCGAGATACGGAGCCAGCCTGTGCTCGTCATGGAGAGTGTAAAGATGTGAAGCACGCACACATACACAAAACGGAATATTACTTAGGCTTTAAAAAGAAGGAGATTCTGTCATTTGTGTCAACTTGGATGAAGCCGGAGGACATGCTAAGTGAAATCAGCCAGGCCCAGAAGGACACGTCCTGCATAGTTTCACTCATGCAGACCCAACAACAGTCGAACTCAAAGGAGCGGGATGGTGGTTGTGGGGGCGGGGGATGGGAGTGGGGCAGTGTTGACAGGGTGCAGCTTCAGTTGTGCGGGTGAGTGGCTCCGGAGGCCAGCGTGCCCGCAGTCACTACAGTGACCAATGCTCTATTGTGTATGGTAGTCTCCCTTATGCACAATTTGGGTTTCTGTGGTTTCAGTTACTCAGAGTCAACCGT